GTTCAACGAGCCCTGATGTGTATCCATGGATGAGCTCCTGGAAGCATCCAGCCATTTGAAAGTCTTCATCCAATCCAAGACGAAAACCAGGCATGGTTTTGGCAGCAAATTTTACTGCTTGGAGCAGCTGTTTTGCTCCTTCCACTGGAGTCTCGTCACAGGAACGTTTCGGGCACGCGATGTTGATTTCTTGTGGTTTCTGCGCATTCTCAGGGGCATTCTCAAGAAGTTTGGGAGCAATTTTGCTAGCCCAGCTAGCCGGGAACCATGCCAATAGGGCAGAGGCACCACTAGTAAGGTCCACTAGCCCAGTAGTGCGTCAATGCGGCCGATCAGTGACCAAGACTTTTACTGGGCCACTCGGCGCTCGACTCCGGTTCCTCTCAGAGCTCTCTCGGGCCGAGCCGATGAGCTCAGACAGGATGGGCCGAAACCAGTACGTGGCATACAACAGGCATTCAGTTTCTGGAGTCACCATGGACTCAGCTGATCTCATCAACGTGCTCATCGCTTGGGCGAGCTTTTCTGCCAAACGAATTGTGAGAGCCCTTGCCGTCTGCAGGAGGACATCCTCCATCGTGGCGCTTTGCCCACGCAACCACAGTTCACAGGCCACACTCAGCAAGATGCGCGAAAACTTTTCTTGGATGGCAGTCAAAGACAACGTCAATCTCGCCTGTAGCCATAACTGTGGGAGAACTCCAAGGTTTTCGGGTATGCAAAACGGGTTTCCGTTAGGTTGGACATTAGTAATCAGGATTGCTAGCTTGTCAGCTGCACTCGCGATCTCATCTTCAGAGGGATCTTCAGCTGCATCAGGTATAGGTGGGCACCATGCAACTGTAGGGTCCTCTGGATCACTCTCGTCATCGGTAGAGGCTGCTTCCTCATCCGAGGAGGGGTCATTCACTGTGTCTCCTGCACCCTCGGGGCTTGCAAAATTCATGGACCCTGGATCAATCTGGCGATCCAATGTGTCCAAGAGGTCCGGTTGCAACCGATGGGCATCGAAGTAGTGGATACCCGGTATTACGACAAGTTGCCGATCCTGTATACCCACGTGAAAGAAGACCTTGTGGCCTCGATGTCGATGAACAAGTGCTGGGGACCCATTATAGGCTGCACAGAGCCAGAGAGGAGATCTGTACCCATCAGCAGCATAACCATACAAGTATTCCCGATCAATCGAGCAGGGGAAAAACCCGCTGGTCGTCAGCACATGATCACGCGTGCGGGACTCTAAAGCTGCAAGGACATCAGGGGGAGCCGTAGCTTGTCTCTGCATGCCACAACCAACCGATATCGTCGCCACACTCGCGTGCCATTGGTGGTCACTATCATGGCAATAGCAAGGGGAGGTTTATCTTGGGAAATAAATGGGTCCACTAATCCCCAGTCCAGTATGGCACTTTTGTCACTGGGGTATTTTGAAGGGCCATGGTACTGAATGTCTCGGCCTTTCAGCGTGAAGTAGCCATAATGGTACACTCCTAGTGTCTGAGCCATGCCAATCATGCCTGCCATATCAAGAGGCGAAACAATATAGGTATGTTCAATGGCTCTTGTGAGCGCTACAGTTGCTCTCCCATAGCAGTCTTCGCGCTCATCTGCTGTTGCATCCCGACGTCCTCCACTTAGAAACCCAACGCCTGTTTGAACAATGACCGCAATGCGTGCTGTTGCCCCCGCGGCAGAGGAAGTGGTGGAAACTCTCAGCCCACCATACCACGCGGACTGGAAGCCATGTTGGAGCAGCAAGTTGTGCACCGCCGTACGATTGCATAGGACAAGCAGCTGCGAGGTCGCTCCCTGTTGCAAGTTGCGATAATAATTCTTCAGATAAGTGCAGAAGGCAACGACGTCCTCGACTGCAGCTCTTAGATCTTTAGGTGCCTTCCACAGTACTGTCCGGAAGCCTCCTTGTGCCACAGTGGACTCATGTGGCACGAAGTGTCCAATGTAGATGTGATTGGGCTCGTGGAGGACTAACTCAGGATATCGAACTGCAACAATAGCTTGGTAAGTCAGCATTGAGACCCGTGAGCTGTTAGGGAGAATGATACCCCACCGGTGAGGACCACATAACCCTGCAGCCTCAAGGGTTGTGGTGCACTCAGGTACTCCAAATTCCTCTGGTGCTGTGGCAATTAGCAGGACTGCTAGAGCTGCTGCAACCAGGCTGCTGTGTGCGTCCAGCTGGCACGATATTCGGCAGTGAAGCACACGCCCCAGGGCAGCAGGCAGCTCGTAGTCTTGCGGAGTGGATGTCCATGGGCCACTATGCGACTTATTTGCGAGTCGCAGCAAACTGAAGAGATCAGACTCCGGATCTTGGCTCGCATCAGGCCAAAGCTGCGCTATAAGTGCTGTCATTCGTGCCGGCGGAAGATAGTCTCCTGACTTATCAAGTGCTCGGAGCCCTAACGGCCGTTGCAACAGTTTGCGACGATTGACAGCCGCTGCTCGGCCTTTTGACAATCCGCCTGGAGTTTGCCTATGATCACCAATGAAAACAGTAAGGGTTGGTTGTTGAATAGCAGCGAGAGCTGCAATTTCATGGTAGTTGCCATACTGTTGACTTTCATCCATGAAGGCAAGCCAGGTGCGAGAGATCCAATGGCCAAAGCTGGAGTAGCGCATCGCCATTTCCGCCGTGGCCGAGCCACCTGTTGCAATGAGTACATTCTTGTGAGCGATGATTCTATTGCGATCACTGCATCGGACGTCAATCTTGGAGGCATATGCTTCTCCTTTGCCTTCCTCCATGCGTCCAATTAGCCTACCAAAGCTCTTGATTGTGGGGGGCGCGAGATCACTTAGTTGATCCGCAAGTGCTTTGGCAGCTACATTTTCTTTCGTATAGATGATGGCAACAAATTCCTTGAGTTCGCAGCTCAGGGCAATGAGCAAGACCGCAAGGGACCGCGTTTTGCCAGCACCAAAAACCCCTGCAATACATAAGTCAGATCTTCCTGTCAGAATGGCCAGTAACAATGCAATGGAAACTGTCAAGACATGTCCATCACCGTGGGCTGCTAAAGGAAGGAGATACTCACAGTAGTAACTGTCATGGGCCCCATCCATTGATATTGTGGCTGGTGTCAAAAACCGTTTCAAAATTCTGACTAATGCATCCGTCAGCTGCGTTTTGCGCTCGCTGGCCATGCGGCGAACAGGTATATGCGGCTGCACGATGCCCATTGCCAATGGTAGGCGCGACTGGTTAGCCTGCGCAAACACTAAGAGTTCATGGCGGCTGCGTGTGTCTCCCAGAAAGGCTAGCTCCTCCCATACAACGGTCATGGACACGTAGTCTTCGATGGGTTTCGGCCAGTCCTTTGCAGGATCAAAGTAACTCATTGTTTTGAGATACTGGTCCAAAAGCCGCCCACAAAAGGTCCGAGCAATGGGTAGCGAGACGATAACGAGCTCCAGCAACTTCGGGGCAATGCGCTTGATCGCTCGCTGAGCAGGGTTCTTACTGGTTCCGCTAGACATCACCTTTTCATGTACAAGTAATATGACACACCGATGCTGAGTGTCTGGTAACTGGAGAACACCCAGTAATGCTCTGCCCGCCATCACATTGGCTTCCAAGTTGCCTAGATTCCCAGCCTCACAAAGTTCTCGCGGCGAGGTCATTGGAACATCCGACGGTGCACTGAAGAGCAGGAGCGGGGCACCATCAGTATGTAGGCGAACGACATGAAACCCAGCATAAGCCTCGTATTGGTAGGTGAGCTGCAAACGTGTTCCTGTTTGTCCTCGCTTCTTCTGCTGAGCCTACACTATGCTGTGTGTTGAGAAGGTAGGGACGCAGGACTCGCGTGAAGATGAAGTCGAGACAACAATGTTTAACCAGAGAAAACGCGGGGAGGAAATGCAAAACCGCATCCAGCAAACGACCAAAAATTGACTGCACTGAAACACATCCAAAAATTTCTGAACTGAAATGTCGACTGAATCTCACAAGAATGAACTGCCATCACTTCGATCGCTCACACCTTTTTTCAGCGGTGGTGAGATCCAGCGACCATCCAATGTCTCTGCATTGTCCATGCCGGAACGCTCCAGCAATTGGTTACCATGAAACTGTCGCAAGAAGAAAGAGGGACAAGTGCAGCAAGTGTCTGGCAAGTGTCTGTAGCTCCCCCAGTCGCTGGTATCACCCTCCCACCACAAAGGGTTGGGTAGGGCGGGTACCTGAAAATGAGCCATAGCTCTTCGAGTCACATCCATGTATTGCCAACTGTATGGACACTGTAGGTGATAAACACGCTTTCGCAAGAATTGAGTTGAAACCATTGTGAATTCCCATCTGAAATCAAACTTCCAGAACAGCAGTAATAAATTCCAGAGAGAATAAACTAAACGAAGTTGTCCAGCAAAAGTTTCAGTCACCAAAATGAACTGTTGTAAACACCAAAGCAAAAAACAGCAAGCTTCCAAGTTGTGGTGTTCCAGACTGCCAATGAAAAACCTTCAGTTGAACCAAGGACCCAAACGGCATCAATCCAGCCCCCACGATTGTACGTAAACGTCACCAAGCGCCAACCCACCCACCCGCCCAACACACAGCACCGTATAGACTCACGGGCGCGCCCTATGAAGCCTACACTATGCTGTGTGTTGAGAAGGTAGGGACGCAGGACTCGCGTGAAGATGAAGTCGAGACAACAATGTTTAACCAGAGAAAACGCGGGGAGGAAATGCAAAACCGCATCCAGCAAACGACCAAAAATTTACTGCACTGAAACACATCCAAAAATTTCTGAACTGAAATGTCGACTGAATCTCACAAGAATGAACTGCCATCACTTCGATCACTCACACCTTTTTTTCAGCGGTGGTGAGATCCAGCGACCATCCAATGTCTCTGCATTGTCCATGCCGGAACGCTCCAGCAATTGGTTACCATGAAACTGTCGCAAGAAGAAAGAGGGACAAGTGCAGCAAGTGTCTGTAGCTCCCCACTCGACAGAGACAAATTGCAAACGAAGTCACCATGGTGTTTTATCGTGCTTCCTCTTCTTTCCCTGAGGGCTCCCTTCCGCATGCCGCTTGGCATCTTCTCTCATCAGGTCAAACTGCAACTTTGTTTGCCAGAGACTGTTCACCAAATCCAGGCATAAATCTGCCAGGGTGAGGGGGACACGATCGTCCATGGAGAAGCTTGTGAAAATCTCATTTGTCAGCTCATCAGCTTCTTGATTTTCCTCACGAGGCCTCCATCTCAAATCCAGTGTAAGCCTTGACTTGGCTAAACATGAAGAAAGCTCCATGTTGACTAACATCAATGGCCATTTCGTAGTCGAGCGTTTGTTGGACAATAGATCGTTTGCCCTGTTATCCGTTCCAGCAAAGATGGAGAATTGCATTGTACGCCTTGTCCTCCCGCCATCAAGCCAACCAAACGCCCTCAGGGCCGCCAATGATGCCAGCAGCTCGGCGGAGGTTGACGCCCACTGTGCGCCCCCGCCGTTCGGCTTAAACAGAAATGGGACTTGCTCCCTTGTAAGAGACAATGAAAACCATCTGCGTGTGGAAACCTCCCAGCCCCCCAATACCACATTGGTGTCAGTGCACTTGGCATCGGTACGAAACTGTTCCTCTGCAAACACTTTGGGCCTTTGCGCAGAAACCATAAACGACTCGTTCGACAGTTCCATTTGTATGTACTTCAAAGTCAAAATGACCGTGTCCGGCAACTTGCCGACCAGTCCAGAAGATGCCACTGCACTCCAAGCGAAAAGTGGCGAGAGGTGCGGCTTCAGCCAAACCAAAAGCTGGGACACAAACCCCAGCCTCCCCAGGAATTCACTGAAATCACGCGCGGCCACAACAAAATTCCTTTTCTCCAGACTCTGGATCCAATCCACCAGCCAAGATCCCCTTCGAGTTGTAATGCCAACTTCATTCCTGTCATAACGCAAATGATACCCCACAAACTCTGAGGCAAAGCCGCCCCTGAACTTATGATATCCAAAAGGTGTCCCCACCAGCTCAAACGCCAGTAGCCAGATCCATAGCATCTCAAACTTCTGAGCCCCTGCGAATGCTCCATGCAAATCATCCACGTAAACCAGGTGCCAAAAAACTGTCGCCTGCATTATGTGTCCAACAAACTTGCCAATGCATGCAAAAAGCTTGGCCCACCAGTACGGCGCACTTGCTACGCCAAACGTGCCTGTCTTATTTACCCAGACAGTATCGCTCTGGGAATCTGCTCTGCAGCACATGTACGGCCAGTCCTCCTCCCTCACCTTCACCAAACGATGAGCAGCCTTAATGTCTGCTGAAACGCAAAAGCACGCCTCCTTTGTCTCCACTGCTTCTCTAACAACTGATGCTACCTCTGCCGGTCCTGGGCACTGCAACTGGTCTTGATACTTGATGGAGTGGTTGACCATCACGGAGTGCGTTGCATCGTGGAGCGGTCTCACCCCCCCATCGGGCTTTGCTATGGCTGCCATTGAAGCCACTCTCAGCCTGTCCCCATACTTCTCCTTCAGGACGCCAAGCTTGGATGGAAACATCCTACCCAAAGATTCTTCTTCTCGAAACTTCTGAACCAACTCCTCGCTAGAAATCTGAGCTGAAGGGTAGTTTTCAGCGATCGGGTTGAAATCTGTCGAGTCAAGTTTTCGGTGCTTCAGCTTCTCGGGGAAAACCTGTGGTGATCTTGGCAGGGGTATGTCCACCCCAAGGTTGACGCCAGTTGCAAAAGATTCTGTATCGTTCACCAAGCAACGGAAGTCTGGGTCCTCAAACATCTCCAACCACTGTGACAGCAGCCGCAAGAAAAAGGGTTGCCCCGGGTCTCGCACCAACGCACCCTTGCAATCAGGTAGCAGGCCAGCCACCCTCTCTCTCACCTTCACCAAGCAAGATTCAGGAAACGGTGACACCTGCAACTTGCCTGTCACCAGCTTGAACGCCTCCATCCTTACATCACTGATGGACTCCATCACACCCTGCCTCAAAAACCCAAAAGTTGCCTGCGCCAGTTGTTTCATCTTGTCATCTCTGTAACGGCCCCTATCTGCCGGGTGCCATCTCGCAGGTGAGCATAACCCGAAACCATCTATAAACTCATGAGTTCTGCTGTCCCATTCAACTGAAATTGGTCTACCAAAGTTGCAGCATTTTCCCAAATTGAAAACTTCAGAATCCTGCTCACCCCCACTCTGACCTGACCCCCCACTGGGTGGTTGCGGTTGCTCTGTAGTTGCATCGTCCATTGTCAAGTCTACAACCTTGCATTGTGGTTTGACAATGTCCATGTTGGGGTCCCTTTCAACAGTCTTGGCGTTTTTTGCAAATGAGACATCCTGAGCACTGCTCCGTAGTTCGTTGCCGTTGTTCTTCTTCCCCCTTCCGGAGGATGCGGCAGCATGAAGAACAAGCCCAGCTAAAAATTCACACAATCCAGGCGGGTAAGCAGCACTGCCGCTCGTATTCCACTTGTTCTGAGTCTTCCCCAAAAGTTTATGTTGATGTTTGTGCCCACAAGATTTGGGTAGCGGCCCTTTGTACGCACCCAAAGAATCAAACTTAGGCAGTCCTAAAAAGCATCTGCTGTCCTCAATGCGGAACGTCCCCAAAAACCGGGTGGGTTTGGGTGTAATGGCCCCAAACTTGCACTGTTGTATTGCAAACGTGGTGGCACCACAAGTTGGTATCAAATCCAAAATTTCTTCCCATTGCCAGATTGATCCTGGACGTTCCTCACGCACGAGTCCCAAATCCTCGGGATGTTCAATAATGAATTTTCCCCCTGCACGGTGACAAACTTTGCAAGCTAAAATGCACTGCTCGACAAACCAATTTGCTTCATCAACAACCTGCCTGTGATGCTGTGAAAGCCATGGGAACCCTTTGGGCCAGACAACATTTCTCAGCGGCCTCGGTCCCGGCCAGTCTTGAAAGTGAAACCTCGCCCTTGAAAACGTGTTGCACGGTGGCGAAACAAGCAAATACCAGTCACCCTCTTCAAGGGCTGCCAGAATTTCATCCCATAAAACCTTGTTGGTCAAATCATGGTCTGGTGAAAGCTCCAGGTCGAACTCCTTCAGAGTCAAAGAAATGTGGCCGCTATCGTGTGCCTTTTGCAAGAAAGAAGCCACATCTGACTGCCGTCTTTTCCCGGCAAATAGGTACATCACCTTCACCTTAGGTGGAGGGGCATCGTGAGGGTGTGCCTCCATGCCAGGTTGGTGAGCACACCCATCCCGTCAAGTGGAGGAACGGGTCTTTTCCCTATGGTGAATCGCAGGATGGTCACCATAGCAACCTTTGACTCTGCACTGATGGACCCTGTTGCATTTTCCATCACAGCTGCCACCATTGTAGGCAAAGCAAAGATCACGCCCGTCTGGCGTCCGCCACGCTAACTGCAAGCCATCCAATCTGCTGTCCTTGCCCTTGGATTTGCCGCCTTTGCCTCTGCCTTTGCCTTTGGGTCCCTGCTGATAGGACTTGCCCCCAAAGCTGCCCTTGTTGTTAAACCTCGGCCATTTGCTCGCCGGGGGGTCGGCAGAGGAGGCTGCACGCAATGCCACTGGTGTCGTGAAAAAGGACTCCTTCAAATCAGCGTCCCTAATCACCGATTTCAAGGCCTGAGAAAGCGTGTAGCCCTCATTTGTAACAAGCCTGAATGCTTCCTTCCTCAGCTTATGCTCATAAGAAAGGACAATGGCCCAATCCGGTCTGATCTTCTGTTGTGCTCCATCGCCTTGAGGTGATGGCACTTGTATCCCCAACACCCTCTCACCAAGGATGTAGTCAACAAACTTGTTGAAATCCGCCGCCTCCAAGTCGTGCAACCAATTTTTTGCACGGTACCTTGCTGACATACAAAGCCAGGAATACATCTCAACTTTCATCACCTTGCGGTACTCCTCTGTCGTTGTAGGCATACGCGACTTGTTCTTTGTCCTCACAACACGCAAATGCCCAGAGGAATCCAAAGAGGACTGGATTTGAGAGCTCGAGGTGTCCTTCTTGCTGATAACTTCATCCAGCGGTGACGCTGTTGGTTCGTTCAACTCAGTCTCCTCGGCTTTCAACGCCAAGTAGTCTGCACTGGGCGTCTCTGACTCACCCAAGGCACCATGCACCCTTTCGACAGCCTTTATCATAGCCTGTCTTTCGTGGGCTTGAAGGATCCTCGGCTGTCCCAACACTTTTGCCTCGGCCCTGAGCTCCACCTCCTTAGAGACAAACTCCTTGGCCGTCTCCCAAGCCGCCACAATGGATGCCACCTCAGCCCTGTTCTCCGGAGTGTCTTGTGCCACTGCGAAGTCATGAAGGCAAGCAGTGCGAATCTGAGCCCTGTCATCACCAATTGCATTGAACTTACGCAATGACCCATAGCAACGTGCAATCGCCGCTTGTCGCCTGACTGAAACTCCAGAGTCCGACAAAATGAATTGTAAGTCAGAATCCATATTCTGCGCAATGAACTCCCTATCTGCAGCATCTGGGTCAACAGCCATTGCACGGCCGATGACTGGCAAAATGCCAAACTCTCAGAAACCACCTTTAATGTCATGTCAAAACAAGGAGTGAGAAAGCAATGCAACCCTAAAGGCCAGCAGCATTTGGAACAAACATGAATTGAAAGGTGTCTGAACACCTAAACGGCACCCAAAGGTCTGAGCCGTCACACGCCCTTTGGCAAACATCCCAAATGCAAATGCTTGACGTCTTAACGTAAGCTGAGCCCTGGATGCGGACATCACTGAAAATTCGACAGCTGGATAGAAAGGAGCAATCAGTCCAAACCGTTGCATCATGCCAGCAACCTCACGATACCTCCAAGCCTTGACATCCAACGGCACCCAGGGGATTGCACTTCCCACTTCAACTGCCCTCAATGAACATCTCCCAATGAAACAAGTGACCACAATCAAAGCAAATCCAAAAACAAATTTGCGATCGCGTGCAACTCATGCACAACGCAAGAAAACACAACGAAAATCACAAAACCACACAACAGTCAAGAGACCCCAAGCCCCCACAGCGTGGAAATGAACACCCTGTTTTCGTCTCAACGAATGAACGATCAGTTGCACTACGCTCATGCAGGGTGAAAACATCATGAAGCAGGTCTAAACCAATCTTAGTGTGCACTCATGCAAAATGACTCAACTATCGTCCTGTGCCTGTCCTGAGACCGTAGACGAAGAGGACGCCGTTGAGCTTGACTCCTGCTGTTCATCCTTGCCGCCATCACTCAACATCTTTCTCTTACAGGATCTACAGATTGAATCAAAATCCTCTTCAGTGACCTCATCCAGAAACCTGACCTCCATGCAATTCGAAGGCTTCACAAAACAACCAGTAAGGTGCAATCTGCGAAACCCAGCACGTCTGGAAATGGTGACAAAGAACTTGTGTGTCTTTGCATTGGCAGCCTCACTCCGCACCTTCTGCTCCTGGATTCTCACCGCAACTGCCTGTTCGTCTGTCTCGACGTCACCGATCAGAAACCAATCGTCCTGTTGAACCTCCAAGGTGGGGAACACTCCCCCAATGCAATTCTTGCCACTCAAGCGCCCCATCACAGTATGCCTCTTCCGGATCCTGTTGGGGTTTGCCCCGGAGTTCTCTGCCGTTTTGCATAAACTGTCAATTGCCTCATCTTCAAAATATTCATTGTCCAAACCCACAACCAAAGACCTGTTCACAGCCTTCTGTATTGTAAATACCACCTGGCGAGAAGTCCTCACGTACTCCTCCGATGCCACCATTCCCATTGCCCAGCGACCTAAATAGGCCCTCTGATCCCTGTGGAAACCAATTGCAGCAGCAACAGATGTCACAAAATTGCGAGGACTGTGAAATGTGTCTCCAAACCGTCTGGCAACAAGAGTGTCGTTGCGTTGACGTCCCATCCACCTGGAACCCTGCGAGGTGTGCACAGGTCACCCAATAACTTCCTAATCAACGAACTCAACCCAGATGGTGAGACGAATCTCTTCCTGACAGACGACCAATCACCTGTGGGCTCCAAAACAAAATAATCTCTTCTTGAATTGAACGGTTCCGTTTCCCAAATGTCGAAACCAACCTTCAGCCAGTCTTCACCACATAACGAAACAGTGCGGTACACATGTGCCGATACTTCTTTCTGCACCTTGTCAGGCCCCGACGTCTTGGTCTTGCCCAGCACCATACGAAGTCCGAAGTTGGACAAATGAGTGCGGTGTGGAAGTGCACACTGCATGTCATCGCATCTCATTGACCCCCAAATCATTACCAAGACAACCCATGCCAAAGCCCGTGAAAATAAGGGACGTGTTTCATCCACCACATGCAATTCCAAAGAAATGAGCATTGCCACAGTGTACATCTCTGCTGGCTTTGTAGGCTCTGACTCAGCCGCAAGCTCCGCACTCCATGCCTTCACATGGGCCTTCCAAAGCTCCTCCGAGGAAAGCCTCTCACCTTCAGGCACACGACCCAACTGTTCAATCAATGTAAGTGAAACATGGAAACATTCTGGCACAGTCTTACCGCACCCCTCATCAACCCTGTGCTGAACATAGTCGATGATGTCCTTGACATTGATGGGAAATTTCCTACCAGCATGCAACTCCAACCAAACTGAAAAAGGACGCCATGCTTTGTACCTGTTCTTCAAAGTGTTGCAACGACGAGTGCCAAACAAATGCAACCATCCCTGACGAGAATCATCAAGAGTCTGAATCAATGCAGCAACTGGGAGGTTAGCCTCAATAATGACCTGTGCTAATAACATGCTATATTTCTTTCTCTCGGCATCCATCCTCTTCGACCTATTCTCAGCCTCGAGCTTGAGGACCCGCTGCCGTCTCTTCGAATGCGCTGCAACCAACGACAGCATGTCAGTCTGTGTGATATGTTTGAAAGCATCTTGAACAGAACCACCAAGAGAAACATGAGAAAAGTACATGGCTGTCTCAACAGTTCCACGTCTAGCCCGTTTGAAGCTCCGTGCATTGTCCTCTCTCCACACCACCAGGTCTGCTGCAACATTGGCAACTTCTTCAGGTACCATGTCAGGACAACAAGACTGTAACATATCCCTAGCATCCACATCACTGTCAAAAGACGCTTCCAACTGCAAAGGTGTCTTAAACATCCTCTGTAAAATCACAACGACATCACTGGTGATACTAGGCCACGACAAATCCATGGCTCGATGCTAGGGCACCGTCCAACCTTGTTGGATGCACCGCGCCCCAACCTACCTGAAAATGAGCCATAGCTCTTCGAGTCACATCCATGTATTGCCAACTGTATGGACACTGTAGGTGATAAACACGCTTTCGCAAGAATTGAGTTGAAACCATTGTGAATTCCCATCTGAAATCAAACTTCCAGAACAGCAGTAATAAATTCCAGAGAGAATAAACTAAACGAAGTTGTCCATCAAAAGTTTCAGTCACCAAAATGAACTGTTGTAAACACCAAAGCAAAAACAGCAAGCTTCCAAGTTGTGGTGTTCCAGACTGCCAATGAAAAACCTTCAGTTGAACCAAGGACCCAAACGGTCTCAATCCAGCCCCCACAATTGTACGTAAACGTCACCAAGCGCCAACCCACCCACCCGCCCAACACACAGCACCGTATAGACTCACGGGCGCGCCCTATGAAGCAAGTTCCACACTGACCCAGGGCTGGAGATGCTGGAGCTGCCGTCCCACATGATAAGCGTCTAGTTGCGGAAGTACCATGTCCAGTAGGAAGATGAGGGTTCGTAATGAGAAACCACGCAGGAATTCCGCCAGTAGGTGGCGAACCAGCAACCCACCCTCATCGTGGGATCCTCCCGGTGTGGGAATCATCGCAATCAGAACTGCTTGTAGGTCAGCTTCCGTTTCAGGCTGACCATCCCGAATGTCCCGTCCACCAATGGGTATATTCTGCAGCTCCGTGTTCCCTTCTCCAGCTGCTACTAACAAATCACTTAGAGTCGTCTTGAGGTGCTCAGGAAGGTCAAAGCTAACCCATGAGAGTACACGCAGCAATCCCTCGCACCGTACCCCATGTGGAATAACTTGCGGGGTGGTGATTTGTAGCCTCTGGATTTCGTGGACTCCTTCGTCAAGGTCAATGAAGAGCAAGTGGCCATAGGAATGTTTGGCACGCCCACTCCAGGTGGGGTGCCCCTCTATAAGAACAACCTGATAGTTAAATTCTGTCAGAGAAGCAGGTCTCCACACACATAGCCGGTCCTCCAGGCAGTGCACCAGTGTGACTCGGCGTTCGCCTGTGGCAAGTCGCAGCATCTCTGGCGGCGTCGCAATCGCAGCAACTTTAGTGAGGCCAGGGAACGCAGCAAATTCACTCAGGATCTCGTGGACTGCTAAGCCCGTATAGGACCCTGCCGAGAAACCATACACGTTAATGTCCCTGCTCCCTCTGTTGTCCGCTGTAGTGACCAAGTGTGGAAAACATGACTTCAGAAAAAGCTGTTTCCCTTGTGGATGGTAACAACGGAAGATCTGCATAATTGCTGTTGACCAGGTCGGATGTGGTGGCCTGGCGTGGGCTGGCCGGATGTTCGCGGCCTCAATGAGGCGGATCGCTCTCGTGAGCAGCAGCTGTGGATCAGAGAACTGTTCAGGGAGGAAATCACGCCAAGCTGTCCATCCATCAGCAGTGGAAAGGAGCTGGTATACCGCATATTCGTGCACTGTTTTGGTAAGGCCCAATTGGGTGATATGTTCTTCCCAATTATCTGTCATCGCAAGCGATGGGCCATACACCTTTGTTTGCGCAAGATTTTGCAGGAAAATATCATATTCGTGTTCGCCACTAAGTAGGCCACCCCCTAATCCACTGCAATGCACTTCAAGGGGTCGGTCTTGCATTGGGGCGTCATCTTGCCAGACTTCTACGAGGGAAAAGACCCAGGATGCCCAGTCAACCGAGCCCTTGAGTGCAGCAGGCATCGCAGCTTCAGGTTGTCTTCCTATGTAGTTTTGTTTGGACAATTCTCCAACATCTATAGTCTGCTTATTGACAGTGATTTCCCACTTAGCCATTTCTCGGAAAGGTAACGGAAGACCAAACTTCAGGAGAGCTGCTTGCTGCAGCGACGTACATGAGGGTTCCGATTGTTCCTTTCGTTGCCACAATCCACACAGCAAGATCAGTTGAGCTTGGGAGAGAGGAGGAGGAGGCACTTTGGCATGCAACCGCAGTCCAACCACTGGAAGGAAATTGTGATGTAGCCATTGGGGCTTCCATTCATGCGTGCCAAATAAAGCAGCAGCCAGCGGCAACCAGCCGAATTGGGCGAGGTCAGCGAGACTGTTCGGCATTCTTTTCTTGGCACTGGTGCCAAATCCATGCAGGATAACAGGCCGCATGTAATGTGGCTCGATTGCCATGGCTTGGTACATCTTGTCTCCTGGTAGTACTCGTACACTGACCTCACCGGGCAGCAGGCTAAGGGTCGGAAGGGCCCCTTGCTCGTAGGCGGGCCTAGCCCATTTATGGAAGTTTGGTTGCCTGCCTTGGTAGCCATCAAGGATCTTCCGTAAATGACCATGGCGCGGCCAGACTCCAGAGGCTGGGACAGGAAAAGTAACTAGTCCAGACCACTGGCCTAACAAGCTCCACGCATGGCACCAATCTGCAGTAACACGTGTGGACGTGCCAAGCAGAGGAGAGCCAAGTAATCCACTAGCGACTGCTTGCTCGACGTCTGCAGGTGGATATGTAGTAGCTAGGTAGGCTTCGACATGTCTGTGGTAAGCAATGGTAATAACGCGGGCAATTTCATCAGGATCTGTGTCTGGGTCATCCAAGACAGTAACAGGTACAGGACTCTCATGACCCGAAGCTAATACAATGACCAGACCAGCATTGATTTCAGTGAAAGCCTCACTCACAAGGATGACTCCTTTGGGCCTAGGCGCAGTGGCAGTTTCATCCACGGCTACTTTGTCCTTCCGAGTGGGTTTAGTTGACCCAGCCGGGGAAGAGTCATCGCTGCTGGACGTCACTCGACGAGACATGCGGGGACTCGGGTCTGGCGAATCACCATAGTCAACTTCGTCTGCCAAATTGGCACCGTAGGTGAACGGAGGGGCTCGTAGTGGATCTGCTTTTCGGACAGCAAGATGGTCCGCACTATGCGATCTAGACAGCTTCGATGGTGGACCAGGCTGTTGCATGTCCCTTCCCGTGTCCACAGATCGCGCACGTTTGTGCGATGACGCAATGGGGCTTGACAGTTTGCTCTTTGCAACTGTGCTTGATGCAGCTGAATGGGTTGGGTCAGTGCTCGCCAGCCAAAGTTCCCGTATCTCAAAGAGAGTCACTGGCACACAATCGCTGTCAATCAGTGCAAAGTTGATGGCCGGGAAGAGGAACACACACGCATCAAGGATGTACGTCCCTGCCCATGTCGGGTGTACCTTATGGAGACCAGTGTCAGCTGAAATGTGGACAAAGACAACTGTGGTGAGTTCTCCATATGGGCCGACATAGCGTAACCGTTCTTTCCACCAAGCAGCGACCATTGGCCAATGACTGAGTCCAGGCTCAGACTTGACCTTATCCGATTGCAAATCACGATTGTCCGTCACCAAATATACCGTGTGGTAAGGCAAGAAAGCAGGGCTTTGACTAACCAACCATCGGTACAACTTATGCCAGTCAGGTCCAGGTAAGGTTTCTCTCCCACCTACCATTGCAATTTCATAGTCATGTCGATCTGGTGCAGCGGTCTTCTTATGGGGGTCTCCAAGCCTCCAGTGCTGCTCAATGGATACATTCAGCCCATACTCAGTCGAAATGCTCTTATGCTGTTCAAGTGCAAAGAGCAAATCAAAGAAGCTGACGTTAGGGTTCTTTGCATACCAGGATTTCACAACTTGTTCTCTGGAAAGCAGAGACATCACACTGTGCAGTTCCTGCGTAGCTGTTCAGGGTGTAAAGGTAATGTGGGGTGGGGGGGGAGGTGTTGAGAATCCTGACACGTCTTTGGCCAGAAGACTCAAGCACTTCAGTCAGTATTGAATGGCAAAATCAACGAAGAGAAGGAAGACCCAAAGCAAGACCACCAAAACAGAAAGCAACCAAAAGAGACCAACACACAAAACAAAACAAAGGACACCAACCCAACCAACACAAACCAACAAAAAAGGGGGGAAGGGGCGAGTGTTGAAAAACCTGACACGTCTTTGGCCAGGCAGTTCAAGCACCTTGACACGAAACAAGAGAAACCAAGAACGCCCGAACCCTCAAATTGATACACGGCAGCCGAATCAGGCGGCGCACGCAGCAGTGAGGGAGAAAGGTGCAATCAGGGGGGAAGGAAAGGGACAAAAAAGCTGGAAGCCCTGACAGTCTTTAGTCAGAAAATCCAGGCACAAGAGTGAACAAGAAAAGGAGAGAGTGAAAGGGAGGGAGCAAAGCACACCGAGCCAAAGAGCAAAAGAGGAAGAGAACTCACACAAACCAAACAGAGGGGGGGAGAAGGGTGGTGGAAGAGGCACTGGTAGCCCTGGCACGTCTTTGGCCAGAGAAACCAGATGCCAAATGGGAAGGAGAACGATGAGTCAGGTAAAGGGATGTAAGGCAGCAAGGGGCACTATCACGAAATAAGATCCTAATGCACGAAAAATCAGGATATAAACTGTGGTGTGAAAAAACAAGCCTGTAGCAAAACCCTTGCCTAATAACCGGAAAGGTTAGTGATATGAATCCCTCACCGAGGTTAGGAGGTGCTCTATATTTCCCCTTTCTGGAACTAAGCTGAGGCAGCTGGTCTGTCTGCTGCTTTGCATTTGAGCCAATGAAACGCAGGAAGCGGTAGCTATGTAGCAGAGCACACAAAGCTTGCATACTTAAGGACATCATGGTTCAACTGAGAGATGCGACTGTGTGTGCGCTGCCCGTTCATTTTTCTCTAGGATCTCAAACAGGCCGGAATACAGCCTTGACCTGGTGCCAGCCTCTCACTGGGAAAATGTTCATCTTAGAGCACACAACTAGTCAATTTGGTGCAGGAATGTTGCTTCCCGGTCGAGCTCCGGGGGTGATTGCAGCTCATTTCGTAATCGTTCTGGTAAGTACAGTCCTTCAAGTATTCTGCGCCAACGAAACGTAGCAAAGTTTGTTTGTCGAGACTGTTTCTCAATGATATGTTGGTATTTCCAGACAGTTTGATTCATGATT